TTCGAATTAATTTTTTGATAAATAAACAAGAGGATTTTGCATCGATATTTCTTATGCCAACAAAGTGAAATCGATTCAATTAACAATTTGAATTTTACTTTAAAAGTAATGAGCTCACGTATATAGTAGAAGAGGTTCGAAGAACGGGAAACAATAATTACATCAGCTATGTAGAGAAAGAGTTCTTCTTTGAAGACGATTAGTGAACTCGTTTGAGAGATTGACATAACGAGCATTACGCAGTATAGGTTTTACAATTAAAAACGGTAGTTAACAATGAGGAAAAATGTTGCGACAGATTAAAAGGAATAGAACTTGTGAATAAAAAAATAAAGTGATTTATCCTTTCCAAGTTTAAAAATGCCTACTGTTACGTAGGTACTTTTAATTATTATTACTACTGATTTAAAAAAATACCTATATATAAAAATACATACATTTCCAGAATATCTTGTATCATTTTATTTAATCAGTCATGAAATCGATAGGCAAGGCAAAACAACAAACATCATTTTTGGGAGTTTCTAGAAATATCAACGATATTCAAAACAATACCTATATCAAAAGTATCATGATCTTAAATTCTAATAATGTTATCATTGGACAGATTGTTAATAGATCAAAATAATGACAAAGAATAATTTTCTTTGTCTTTTTCTATCTTGCAAGTTTAATTGGAATAATTTTAAATGGGAACAGTAGAAAATGAAATACCAAGATAGAAAAAAATCGGATATTTAATGCAATTTGGCAACATCGACACTAGCTCAGATTACGTTGATTTGAAAGCGTACAATTTGTAAGAGTGACTTCAGATTTTTTGGAAGTAGCTTCCACTCATTGTTTTCATTGAACAAGGTATAGGAGTTTTTTTGGAAATAGAAAGATTTTGCACTAGGTACTCTTATGAAACACCCTGTAAATTGAACTAGGATTTTCTCATGAAATTTCTAAAATTCGCCTTTATACAGGGTTTCCCAAAGAAGTGACTAAATTTCAGATTTAGGTTCAAAAATTTCCAATTTTTTCTTCACACACCCTGTATCTACAGAGTTACAACTTGAAAACTATTCAGAAATTTGGAAAAAATTACCTAAATGCCCAAGTAACAGGTAATTTTTTTCCATACAGGGTGTCCTACGGTGGATTGCGTATTAGACGTTTATGGAGAACTAAAAAGCGGATCATATTGAAAATTTGGCAAGCCCAAAATAAGAGCTATGATTTTTAAAATCCGATAAACACACTGAGTGATATTTCTGCATTAAAGTCAATGGTCTAATTTTTGATTTTTTTTCTGGAAATTTAGAATACTTGAAGGAACCAAATATTCTTTTGTTTATTAAAGCTATTAGATTCAACATATCAAAATTTCATGGAAAAATAGCCCTGGATAACGGAGCTATGATTTTTACAATCCGATAAACACACTGAGTGATATTTCTGCCTAAGAGGCAATAGTCTAATTTTTGATTTTTTTTTCTGGAAATCTGGGAAACCTGGAGGAACCACATATTTTTTTTATTAAATAAATAAGCTTTTAGCTTCAACATATTGAAATTTCATGGAAAAATAGCCCAGGATACAGGATAACGGAGCTATGATTTTTACAATCCAATAGACACACTGAGTAATATTTCTGTTTTGGAGTCCATGGCCTAATTTCTGATTTTTTTTCTGGAAATCTGGGAAACTTGGAGCAACAAAATAATCTTTTTTTATTAAAGAAGCTATTAGCTTCAACATATCAAAATTTCATGGCAAAAGAGCCCTGTATAACGGAGCTATGATTTTTACAATCCGATAAACACACTGAGTGATATTTCTGCCTAAGAGGCAATAGTCTAATTTTTGATTTTTTTTCTGGAAATCTGGGAAACCTGGAGGAACCAAATATTTTTTTATTTAATAAAGAAGCTTTTAGCTTCAACATATTGAAATTTTGTGGGAAAATAGCCCAGGATAACGGAGCTATGATTTTTACAATCAGATAAACACACTGAGTGATATTTCTGCCTTAGAGGCAATGGTCTTATTTTTAATTTTTTTCTGAAACTCTTGGAAACTTGGAGGAATCAAATTTTTCTTTATTTATTTAGGAAGCTTTTAGCTTCAACATATCAAAATTTTATGGAAAAATAGCTCAGGATAACGGAGCTTTAATTTTTACAATTCGATAAACACACTGAGTGATATTTCTGCTTTAGAGTCAATGGTCTAATTTTTGATTTTTTTTCTGGAAATTTGGGAAACCTGGAGAAACCAAATAATTTTTTAATTATTAAAGAAGCTTCCAGCTTCAACATACTAAAATTTAATGGAAAAATAGCCCAGGATAACGGAGCTATGATTTAAACAATCCGATAAACACACTGAGTGATATTTCTGCATTAGAGTCAATGATCTAATTTCTGATTTTCTTTCGGGAAATCTGGGAAACTTGGAGCTACCAAATATTTTTTTATTTATCAAGGAAGCTATTAGCTTCAACATACTAAAATTTTATGGAAAAATAGCCCAGGATAAGGGAGTTATGATTTTTACAATCCGATAGACACACTGAGTGATATTTCTGCCTTAAAGTCAATGGTCTAATTTTTGATTTTTTTTCTAAAAATCTGGGAAATTTGGAGGAACCAAATATTTTTTCGTTAATTTAGGAAGCTTTTAGCTTCAACATACTAAAATTTAATGAAAGAATAGCATAGTATAATGGAGCTATGATTTTTACAATCCGAGAAACACACTGAGTGATATTTCTGCCTTAGAGTCAATGGTCTAATTTTTGATTTTTTTCTGGAAATCTGGGAAACTTGGAGCAACCAAATATTTTTTTCATTTATTTAGGAAGCTTTCAGCTTCAACATACTAAAATTTTATGGAAAAATAGCCCAGGATAACGAAGCGATGATTTTTACAATCTAACAAACATACCGAGTGATATTTCTGCCGTTAGAGTCAATGGTCTAATTTTTGATTTTTTTTTTTGGAAATCTAGGAAACTTGGAGCAACCAAATATTGTTTATTTATTCAGGAAGCTTCCAGCTTCAACATACTAAAATTTTATGAAAAAATAGCCCAGGATAACGGAGCGATGATTTTATACAATCCAACAAACACACCGAGTGATATTTCTGCCTTAGAGTCAATGGTCTAATTTTTGATTTTTTTTTCTAAAAATCTGGGAAACTTAGAGGAACCAAATATTTTTTTATTTATTTAGGAAGCTTTCAGTTTCAGCATACTAAACTTTTATGGAAAAATGACCCAAGATAACGGAGCTGTGATTTTTACAATCCGATAAACACACTGAGTGATATTTCTGCCTTAGAGTCAATGGTCTAATTTTTGATTTTTTTCTGGAAATCTGGGAAACTTGGATGCACCAAATATTTTTTTATCTATTTAGGAAGCTTTTAGCTTCAATATACTAAAATTTTATGGAAAAATAGCCCAGGATAACGAAGCTATGATTTTTACAATTCGATAAACACACTGAGTGATATTTCTGCCTTAAAGTCAGTGGTCTAATTTTTGATTTTTTTTTCTGGAAATTTGGGACACATGGAGCATCCAAATATTTTTTCGTTTATTTAAGAAGCTTTTAGCTTCAACATACCAAAATTTTATGGGAAAATAACGCAGGATAACGGAGCTATGATTTTTACAATTCAATAAAGACACTCAGTTATATGTCTACCTTAGAGTCAATGGTCTAATTTTTGTTTTTTTTTCTAAAAATCTGGGAAACTTGGAGGAACCAAATATTTTTTAGTTCATTATAAAGAAGCTGCTAGCTTTAACATATTAAAATTTTATGGAAAAATAGCCCAGGATAACAGAGCATACAGGGTGGCCTAATAAATTCAAAGGCTGCTCAAGTTCAAGATTTTTTCCAACCAATTTTCTTTATACACCCTGAACAGAGTTGAAATTTGAAAATTTCGTACATAATTGACTCATTTATTAGAGGCTCTATTTCGATTTTGTTGAAAAAATTTAGTACCAAAGTTACAGGACGTTATTTGGGAAATAGAGCCATTTTTGTATGTACAGCTCTATAAAACACCTTAGATTGAGACTGGGATTTTTTTTTAGAGAAATTTCGAATAAAGCCTTTGAAAGAAAACGAACTGCTCTAACAAATTCCAAAATTTTGCCTCCATACAGGGTGTCCTGAAAAAGTCAGAAGCTTTTGAAAGTGAGAATTTCTTGAATACATTAGTTAATATAGGTATATAATTTTTTTCAAACACCCTATATGTACAGACTCACAACTAGAGATTTTATAGAGAATTTATCAACCTAATAGAGGCTTTATTTGAGTTTTTGTGAAAAAATTTATTTCCAAAGTTACAGGTTTTTTTTTTTTGGGGAATAGAGCCATTTTTGCCACACCCTGTATATTAGGTAAACTAGGTTTTTTTTTTGAAAATTTCAAATAGTCTCTAAAAGACAATAAATTGCTCTAAAAACCCTTTAAATTTGGCCTCTATACAAGGTGTCCTGAAATTGGATCTTGTGTTTTGTTAATTTACACATTTTAGAATATTTTGAAAGTGATTTTAGGTGCTTTTGAAGCTCTAAAAAGGACTCTAATCATTTTGGGTTTGATTTTAAAAGTGACTGAATTTGGATTGTTTGGAAGTAGCTTCAATGTCCAAACTCATTGGATATTGTGTTCGTGTCAATTTAAATGTTTTAGAATTTGTGACTTTTTTGAAGCATCTCTAATACCTTTGGAGTTAATTGTTGAACAATTTTGAAAGTATAAACTTCTCAAGAGTGATTTTAGAAGAGTTAATTCTCACAAAAATGCCATCAAATTCTATATTTATTCAAATCTCATTTATCTAAAGGATTAGCATTTAAACCGAAAAAAGGAAGCGGAGGATATATTCACTCATAAATTCGTCAAATACTTATACTTTTTTTTCTTAAATTAACGCCATTTATATTGACCGGGATCAACGTTTATAATTTATAAACACAGTCCCACGAAAAAGGTTGTAAGTCAGATAACCTGTGACAAGTATAAACAAATGGATTAGAAAATTTATTTGCTTGGGAGTAAAAACGGTATCATTTATCCAAAACTTTTCCAATAAGTAGTAATCGATTTTTGATTTAGAAAATATCGCTTTCCGCACATAACATTAAAGGTTTTTTTTTTTTCAAAGTGACCCTGATGGCTTTTGCTAGTATTCTTTTCTGGTTTGTGATTGTGGTTGCAGCAAAAGGATCTCCAACCAAAGTGCTACAAGATCAGGTATGTAGGCAAAATTTCAATTATGATTCAATAATTTGAAAATACTTTTTTATTCAAGGTAGACACCCTGAATTGTATTCCAACAAAATGGGGTTGCATCGACATTTCTGATCCTTCTTTTAGGCCTAGGGTAATAATTTTTGATTACAAGATTGACTGATGATAAAAATTCCAATTATTTTCAGTTAAATGTTGAGCAACCTTCTGCAACGAATTTAAAGGCACCATGCATACCTTCTCCATGGGGTTGTATAGATCCCAGTGACCCATCAATTCGTCCACGATCGATGGTAAAACATTTCTATAATTGAACCAAAGTTGAATTAACCATTTTTATTATTATGTAGCCTGATGAAGATGGGACATCAAAGCCAATTATTGCAAATCCACCACCGTGCCATTGCATTCCTACTCCATATGGATGCATCGACCCTTGTGATCCAGGTTTTCATCCAAAACTAAATGAATAAATGTATTTTATCAATAAATTTTCCATTAATCGTAATGCGTATTTTTTTTTTAATTATTGGCAAGGCTTAATCCGTGTAGATTTAGTTATCTTGACGTTAACTTTTCCTTTATGAATAATAATTTATGGTTGTATTTTCACATTTTGATTTGTGGGTCGTTTTAAGGCTCATCTACACAGCTAGCTTTGTCTTCTCAGAATTAGATCTTCGCAGTGGTTTCGTCAAGGCAGGCCTGTATCAATGGTAAATAGGATAGTGTTTTCATGGGTGTTTAAATTGAATTTGTACATACAGGGTGTGTTTGAAAAAAATTTCAAGCATTCAATAGTGTATTAAAAAAATCCTCAACTTTAGAAGGTTTCAACTATTTCAGGACACCCTGTATAGAGGCAAAATTTTATAAATTTATAAAGCAATTCATTGTATTTCAGGGACTTAATTTTATTTGACTTTTGTACAAGATGTGTAAATTGGAAATTTTCAAAAATTGACATAAAAAAATCTCAACTTTAGTAACTTTTACAGGACACCCTGTATAGAGGCCAAATTTGGAGATTTTATAGAACAATTCATTGTCGATCAGAAGCTTTATGTGAAATTTTGCAACAAAATTCCCTAATCCCCACGCCCCTAATCGGCTGGTCCCCTTGTATGATGTCAACCTGATATACGGCCTGTCAGCTACGAGATGTCAATGCTTATAGTGCAATAACGCAAACTTCATTTCGTTTTCTTTGTTAATACAAGACCAACATACAGTAATCAGTTTTCTCTATCGATTATCGTTTAATTCGTCCCGTGTACTCAACTTCCCTAAGAATTATCTTACAAATTGGCGCCCAACGTGGGGCCAGGGTGAGTTTCAAGACTGGTAGACCATTGTGTGCCGATCGCGATTTTTGTGTAGTTGTTCGACGAAACCCATGGTGTTTTTCGGGTTCGTTTGGTACGGAAGTCATCACCGAGAAACAGCCGAATTGTGAACAACTTTGACGCATTAGGTACTGCGTGAATTATCATCGGTTTTCTGTATTTTTTGTGTGAATTGTCACCGAAATTTTTTCGAAATCGTTACGAATACAAGTTGTTTTGTACATCGTTTGATTTCCTAACATTTTTGCCGCTTTTGTGTTCGAGTTATCAACCAGAACAGCTGTGTTATGAACATATTGCTCAGAAATCGAAGTTTGATATTTCTCAAGCTCAATTTCAATAGTAGGAGAGCCAGGAACATGATGTTTTCTTCAAATTCAGCTCCGCAAAGATAGAATGTAGAGAATTGTTGGTAGAAAAGGCCTTCATGAAGTTCTACAAAAAGGAAATTTCTACAATGTTTAGAGGCTTTATTTATTTGGAACAGGATTTTCATCTGTCTCAGATGAATTGTATCTCTATGAGCTTCTCAAACAGCTCTAGCTGAACTGTACCTTTTGAGTCCTGTATTCGAACATGTCAAGTTGAATTTTAGCAATATGCAACAAATGCAACAAGTTTTAAAAAAGTACTTGAAACGTTCCTTTGCGACTTGCCATACCTTCCTTGCCTTGAACATCCTGTAATAAGGTTCCAAAACGTCCCTGTGAGGAATTTGTGTACAAATGTAACGTTTTCTGATCGTTCCCTGCGAAACTTCCAAGATAATTTTTAGAGAGTTTTGAAATATCCCCTGACCATACACGTCTTCAAGTCAATAAAAGACCTCATGAGACATTCTAGGAGGTTTCAGGGACGTTCTTGGAATATACTAGGAGGGTTGTGTTAGGGGCAACTAAAAAGGTCCATACATGTACTACTTCAAGCCTTGTATCTTAATTTTTTGGAAAATTGGTTCACCTAATGGAGTCCAGTATTTTTTTTGTTCATTTGAGAAGCTTTGAGCTCGAACATGTTACAATTTCATAATAATAGAGCCCAAAATAATTGATTTCCGATTTTTTGAATCTGATGAACACATTGATTAGATCTTTCTATGAGGCTTCTACCTCCATTTTCGACTTTCCTTCTAGAAAATTGGTTCACTTGATAGAATTGAATATTTTTCTGTATATTCGTAAAGCTTTTAGCTGTAACATACTAAAATTTCATAACAATAAAGCTTAGGACAATGGAGTTACGATTTTTTGAATCTTATGACACACTGAGTGAATCTCTCTGCTACTTACAGTTTCAACTCTTGTTGCTGGGCAGCTAGTACACTTGAAAGGGCCTGATATTTTTTTACATTATTGGGAAGCTTTTGGCTCTAACATACTGCAATTTCATAACAATAGAGCTTAGACCAATGGAGTTACGATTTTTTGAATCTTATGGCACACTAAATGGATTTCTCTGTTATAGGGCTTCTACTTGCATTTTCAACTCTTGTTCTGGAAAGTTGGTACCTACACTTGAGGAAGCCGGATATTTTTTTCATTATTGGAAAGCTTCTAGCTCTAACATACTAAAATTTCATAATAATAGAGCTCAGAATAATTGAGTTACGATTTTTTGAATCTGATGAACACATTGAGTAGATCTTTCTAGGAGACTTCTACCTCCATTTTCGACTTTCCTTCTAAAAAATTGGTTCACTTGATAGAATTGAATATTTTTCTGTAACTGTTAGCTGTAACATACTAAAATTTCATAACAATAAAGCTCAGGACAATGGAGTTACGATTTTTTGAATCTTATGACACACTGAGTGAATCTCTCTGCTACTTACAGTTTCAACTCTTGTTGCTGGGCAGCTAGTACACTTGAAGGTGCCTGATATTTTTTTACATTATTGGGAAGCTTTTGGCTCTAACATACTGCAATTTCATAACCATAGAGCTTAGACCAATGGAGTTACGATTTTTTGAATCTTATGGCACACTAAATGGATTTCTCTGTTATAGGGCTTCTACTTGCATTTTCAACTCTTGTTCTGGAAAGTTGGTACCTACACTTGAGGAAGCCGGATATTTTTTTCATTATTGGAAAGCTTCTAGCTCTAACATACTAAAATTTCATAATAATAGAGCTCAGAATAATTGAGTTACGATTTTTTGAATCTGATGAACACATTGATTAGATCTTTCTATGAGGCTTCTACCTCCATTTTCGACATTCCTTCTAGAAAATTGGTTCACTTGATAGAATTGAATATTTTTCTGTAACTGTTAGCTGTAACATACTAAAATTTCATAACAATAAAGCTCAGGACAATGGAGTTACGATTTTTTGAATCTTATGACACACTGAGTGAATCTCTCTGCTACTTACAGTTTCAACTCTTGTTGCTGGGCAGCTAGTACACTTGAAGGTGCCTGATATTTTTTTACATTATTGGGAAGCTTTTGGCTCTAACATACTGCAATTTCATAACCATAGAGCTTAGACCAATGGAGTTACGATTTTTTGAATCTTATGGCACACTAAATGGATTTCTCTGTTATAGGGCTTCTACTTGCATTTTCAACTCTTGTTCTGGAAAGTTGGTACCTACACTTGAGGAAGCCGGATATTTTTTTCATTATTGGAAAGCTTCTAGCTCTAACATACTAAAATTTCATAATAATAGAGCTCAGAATAATTGAGTTACGATTTTTTGAATCTGATGAACACATTGAGTAGATCTTTCTAGGAGACTTCTACCTCCATTTTCGACTTTCCTTCTAGAAAATTGGTTCACTTGATAGAATTGAATATTTTTCTGTATATTCGTAAAGCTTTTAGCTGTAACATACTAAAATTTCATAACAATAAAGCTTAGGACAATGGAGTTACGATTTTTTGAATCTTATGACACACTGAGTGAATCTCTCTGCTACTTACAGTTTCAACTCTTGTTCTGGGCAGCTAGTACACTTGAAGGTGCCTGATATTTTTTTACATTATTGGGAAGCTTTTGGCTCTAACATACTGCAATTTCATAACAATAGAGCTTAGACTAATGGAGTTACGATTTTTTGAATCTTATGACACAGTAAGTTGATCTCTCCGATATATAAGGTTTCTAGCTACATTTTAAACTTTTGTTCTGGAAACGTGGTATAGTATTTACAAAGTCAGTTCAGTTGAAACAAGATAAAGGTAAATTACAATTGGTGACTGAATATTTTCATAAAAAATGCACTGCCACTAGTCAGCCACCAGGTGCAAATTACCTTTACCTTGTTTCAACTGACTTTGTAAATACTATACCTCGACTATACCTATACTTGAATCTTTCTGATTCCATTATAAATCATATAGAGCCTCTTATAATAATGTTTTTTTTTTTTGTTCCAGGTAAGAAGCAGAATAAAAAACTACCAAATAAACTTGGCGGTAAGTGTAATGATGAATGATCCATTGGCCTTTACATATATTTTTGAGCCAATACTAAACATCATTTAATAAAGAAAATTATCGAGTTTGATTCGCCCAAAAATCGCAAACCAATCGTTAAACTTATACAACTTCCTGGTACAAACTATGGTGTCAAAACTGTGAGAAGCGACCCATCAAAAGCGCGAAATATTAAAATGATTACTGCGAGGTACTAAAGCAAAGTAGCGTCTTCGCAGATAAAACGCTCGTTTAACGGGTTCCAGTACGGACCAAAACATTCCTAGATAATTATACAGAGTGGGTCAATTAAAGGCCTCATATACTCATGAATTTTTGCAAACCCAAAATCAATTTTATTATTTCGGGTACCTACTACCTTAAAACCGCATTATATTTACAATTTAAAACAAAAGGCGAGTCACTATTTTTTTTTCCATTCCAAACCTCATTATAGTTCTACGAAGTACCTACTACCTTCGATGATAGATGTTCCGCATCGGTTGGTACTAGATTGTTAGAAAAAAAAAGGTGTTTGTGAGAACAACACGGTGACAATTTCGATGAGAAAACTTTTAATTAACAACAGGGAACCACCAAATTAGATTTTTATTGGTTTTCGTTTTATATAAGCTCGCATCATTATCGTTTTAAGTTTGTTTTACTGTTGTTTTAGTTGAAATAAAATTAAAGATAACTGTATCTATTTAAGCTGCAAAAAGCCTCTTATATAAAAACTAGT